CATTCCAGTACTTCACCACCCTCCTAGTGCAAAAGTTTTTCCTATTATCCAACCGAAAACCTCCCCCACTGCAACTTGAGACCATTAGTCCTCATTCTGTCATCTGTTACCACTGAGAACAGTGTAGATCCATCCTCTTTTTGGAACCCCATTTCAGGTAGTTGAAAGCAGCTATCAAATCCCTCCTCATTCTTCTCTTCCGCAGACTAAACAATCCCAGTTTCCTCAGCCTCTCCTCATAAGTCATGTGTTCCAGTCCCCTAATCATTTTTGTTGCCCTCCGCTGAACGTTTTCCAATTTTTACACGTCCTTCTTGTAGCGTGGGGCCCAAAACTGGACACAGATGAGGCCTCACCAATGTCGAATAGAGGGGAACAATCACATCCCTCGATCTGCTGGCAATGCCCCTACTTATACATCCCAAAATACCATTGACCTTCTTAGCAACAAGGGCACACTGTTGACTCATATCCAGCTTCTCATCCACTGTAACCCCTAGGTCCTTTTTGCAGAACTGCTGCCTAGTCATTCGGTCCCTAGTCTGTAGCGGTGCATGGGACTCTACACTTGTCCTTGTTGAACCTCATCAGATTTCTTTTGGCCCAATCCTCTAATTTGTCTAGGTTCCTCTGTTTCCTATCCCTATCCTCCAGCATATCTACCATTCCTCCCAGTTTAGTGTCATCTGGAAACTTGCTGAGGGTGCAATCCACGCAATCGTCCAGATCATTAATGAAGATATTGAACAAAACCAGCCCCAAGACCGACCCTTGGGGCACTCCGCTTGATACTGGCTGCCAACTAGACATGGAGCCATTGATCACTACCTGTTGAGCCCGATGATCTAGCCAGCTTTCTATCCACTTTATAGTCCATTCATCCAGCCCATACTTCTTTAATTTGCTGGCAAGAATACTGTGGGAGACTGTGTCAAAAGCTTTGCTAAAGTCAAGGAATAACACATCCACTGCTTTCCCCTTATCCACAGAGCCAGTTATCTCATCATAGAAGGCAATTAGATTAGTCAGACATGACTTGCCCTTGGTGAATCCATGCTGACTGTTCCTGATCACTTTCCTCTCCTCTAAATGCTTCAGAATTGATTCCTTGAGGACCCGTTCCATGATTTTTCCAGGGACTGAGGTGAAGCTGACTGGCCTGTAGTTCCCCGGATCCTCCTCCTTCCCTTTTTTAAAGATGAGCACAACATTAGCCTTTTTCCAGTCATCCGGGACCTCCCCCGATCGCCATGAGTTTTCCAAGGTAATGGCCTATGGCTCTGCAATCACATCCGCCAACTCCTTTAGCACTCTCGGATGCAGCGCATCCGGCCCCATGGATTTGTGCTTGTCCAGCTTTTCTAAATAGTACCAAACCACTTCTTTCTCCACAGAGGGCTGGTCACCTCCTCCCCATGCTGTGCTGCCCAGTGCAGTAGTCTGGGAGCTGACCTTGTTCATGACGATAGAGGCAAAAAAAGCATTGAGTACATTAGCTTTTTCCACATCCTCTGTTACTAGGTTGCCTCCCTCATTCAGTAAGGGACCCACACTTTGCTTGACTGACTTTTTGTTGCTAATATGCCTGAAGAAACCCTTCTTGTTACTCTTAACATCTCTTGCTAGCTGCAACTCCAGGTATGATCTGGCCTTCCTGATTTCACTCCTGCATGCCCGAGCAATATTTTTATGCTCCTCCCTGGTCATTTATCCAGTCTTCCACTTCTTGTAAGCTTCTTTTTTGTGTTTTAAGATCAGCAAGGATTCACTGTTAAGCCAAGCTGGTCGCCTGTCATATTTACTATTCTTTCTACACATCGGAATGGTTTGTCCCTGTAACCTCAATAAGGATTCTTTAAAATACATGCATCAGATGAAGTGGGTATTCACCCACGAAAGCTTATGCTCCAATACGTCTGTTAGTCTATAAGGTGCCACAGGACTCTTTGCCGCTTTTACAGATCCAGACTAACACAGCCACCCCTCTGATATTTAAAATACAGCCAGCTCTCCTGGACTCCTTTCCCCCTCATGTTATTCTCCCAGAGGATCCTGCCCATTAGTTCCCTGAGGGAGTCAAAGTCTGCTTTTCTGAAGTCCAGGGTCCATATTCTGCTGCTCTCCTTTCTTCCTTATGTCAAGATCCTGAACTCGACCATCTCATGGTCACTGCCTCCCAAGTTCCCATCCACTTTTGCTTCCCCTACTAATTCTTCCCTGTTTGTGAGCAGCAGGTCAAGAAGAGCTCTTCCCCTAATTGGTTCCTCCAGCACTTGCACCAGGAAATTGTCCCTTACACTTTCCAAAAACTTCCTGGATTGTCTGTGCACCGCTCTATTGGTCTCCCAGCAGATATCAGGGTGATTCAAGTCTCCCATGAGAACCAGGGCCTGCGATCTAGTAACTTCCATGAGTTACCGGAAGAAAGCCTCGTCCACCTCATCCCCCTGGTCTGGTGGTCTATAGCAGACTCCCACCACGACATCACCCTTGTTGCTCACACTTCTCAACTTAATCCAGAGACTCTCAGGTTTTTCTGCAGTTTCATACTTGAGCTCTGAGCGGTCATACTGCTCTCTTACATACAATGCAACTCCCCCATCTTTTCTGCCCTGCCTGTCCCTCCTGAACAGTTTATATCCATCCATGACAGTACTCCAGTCATGTGAGTTATGCCACCAAGTCTCTGTTATTCCAATCACATCATAATTCCTTGACTGTGCCAGAACTTCCAGGTCTCCCTGCTTGTTTCCCAGGCTTCTTGCATTTGTGTATAGGCATTTAAGATAACTCGCTGATTGTCCTGCTTTCTCAGTATGAGGCAGGAGCCCTCCCCTCTTGCGCTCTCCTGCTCATGCTTCCTCCCGGTATCCCACTTCCCCACTTACCTCAGTGCTTTGGTCTCCTTCCCTCAGTGTACCTAGTTTAAAGCCTTCCTCACTAGGTTAGCCAGTATGCTTGTGAAGATGCTCTTCCTTCTCTTCATTAGGTGGAGCCTGTCTCTGCCTAGCACTCCTCCTTCTTGGAACACCATCCCATGGTCAAAGAATCCAAAGCCTTCTCTCCAACACCACTTGTGTAGCCATTCAATAGGTAGATACGCTGGAGGGTAGGGATAGGGTTCAGAGTGACCTAGAAAAATTGGAGGATTGGGCCAAAAGAAATCTGATGAGGTTCAACAAGGACAAGTGTAGAGTCCTGCATTTAGGATGGAATAATCCCATGCACTGCAACAGGCTGGAGACCGACTGGCTAAGCGGCAGTTCTGCAGAAAAAGAACCTGGGGATTACAGTGGACGAGAAGCTGGATATGAGTCAACTGTGTGCCCTTGTTGCCAGGAAAGCTAATGGCATATTGGGCTGCACTAGTAGGAGCATTGCCAGCAGATCGAGGGAAGTTATTATTTCCCTCTATTCGACAATGGTGAGGCCACATCTGGAATATTGCATCCAGTTTTGGGCCCCCCCACTACAGAAAGGATGTGGACAAATTGGAGAGAGTCCAGCAGAGGGCAATGAAAATGATTAGGGGGCTGGGGCACATAACTTATGAGGAGAGGCTGAGGGAACTGGGCTTATTTAGGCTGCAGAAGAGAAGAGTGGTGGTGGTGGGGATTTGTTAGCAGCCTTCAAGTACCTGAAGGGGGATTCCAAAGATGATGTATCGAAGCTGTTCTCAGTGGTGGCAGATGACAGAACAAGGAGCAATGGTCTCAAGTTGCAGTGGGGGAGGTCTAGGTTGGATATTAGGAAAAACTATTTCACTAGGAGGGTGGTGAAGCAAGGGAATGGGTTCCCTAGGGAGGTGTTGGAATCTCCATCCTTAGATGTTTCTAAGGCCTGGCTTGACAAAGTCCTGGCTGGGATGATTTATTTGGGGTTGGTCCGGCTTTGAGCAGGGCCTTGGACTAGATGACCTCCTGAGGTCTCTTCCAACCTTAATCTTCTATGATTCTATAATTAGTTGCATAGCATAGTTAATGAAACAGGCTGTTTGAAATTACTCTGGGTATACTGAAAAAGAGAATAATATGAAAAAAATCATTTTGAAGTTGCTGCTACAGTTAGGACCAATCTATGATTTCTTATGTACCCCAAACTCTCATTGACTTCAGATATAATTTGAATTTTGAGTGTGAAAGCTGCATAGGGTGGCATGGCCCTTGGATGCTCACCTTTAGGGGGAAAAAATCCTTAAAACCTTTTATCCAAAGGTACTGTGCATTTGCTTTTCTTCAAATAGATAGACATAAAATCTGTTATGCATCCTAATTGGTGGAGGTGGAATTTAAATCTTTGACAATGGGTTGATTGACAATGGGTTCTCTTCCCTGGGAGAGAAATGAATGGTGCACATACCCAGCATATTCTTCTTTTCCTAGTTTGTTCACTGTATGGATACCAGTGCCTGTTCATCTCTTACAAAGGTGGCAAAAGTTATAGCAAATCTTTATTCAGGAAAATCCTCATTCACTAACCCAACTAAAACATGCCTGAGTCCCAACCCTTTATGTAAAAAGAAAAGGAGTACTGAAGAGGGCTGTAGCTCACGAAAGCTTATGCTCAAATAAATTGGTTAGTCTCTAAGGTGCCACTAGTACTCCTTTTCTTTTTGCGAATACAGACTAACACGGCTGCTACTCTGAAAGCAACCCTTTAGGTAGGCTCTGCTGCTTTTCTGTATCTGTAGTACAAGTGTAGTCAAGGACAAAATGTTTCACTTGCTGTTAAACTACATTCAGCACCAGTTTAACTGCACTGGTTAGATGCCTGTTGTCAACAAGGGAGAATTTTGCTTATGTAGATGAGATTTGTGTGTGGCAGGCACACTAAAAAGTTCGGCAGTACTGTAACTAATTCAGCATGACCATTTCAGCACGGGGATACATTAACGTGCTTGAACTTTAACTGTTTACGTCAAGTGGTTTGATTATGAATAGTTGTTGATAAATCTCATTTAGTTACTTTTCTGGGTTTTATACTTGATTTCTCCTGTACAGATTCTTCAGTTTGAGGATATTTTGGCCAACCCATCCTACCGAGAGCACTTTCGACTGTACATGGAAAGGATGGACAAGAGGGCTTTGATTAGCCTTTGGGAGTCTGTGGACTATCTGAAGAATGCTAACAAGGTAGAAGTAGTGTGAAGTATATGGGGGCTTGTAAATAAAACTGAATATTTATATGGTGAATTTTGCTGCAAAATAAATATATGAAAAAAATTCTCTGTTAACATTTTCTTTTTTTAGTCTAAGAAATGGAGCACAAAATGGTGCTAGAAATTTCATTATTTCAATCTATTTATGTTGCCTTGGTCTTCTGATAACAGGGCATAATTTAAAAATCCTTTACTTTTTGAACAGAGAGGAGGAAAGAGAAGGAGTTATAAACACAAATGATGATAAAAAGGTCACATACAACAGCCCATTTAAAAGAGACAAAACCAGTATAGCGTTTTTTCTTAACCACTGAGAAATAATTTTCAGTAATTTATTGACTGTTTTATAGCTGCCCTTATCTTATTACCAAGTAAATTACCATGCAATACCTTGTCTCGCTGCTCGAAAGTTTTCAACTGGATAGCTACTACACCTACACTGTTCCTTTTATGCTACTCCTCCCATTGGGAGTGATGCAAAGCCCATTGAAGAGCATAGGCGTCTTTCCACTGATTTCAGTGAGCTTAAGATCACAAGTTAAAGATACTTACTTTTTCTGTGTGTACTTAAAGAGATTTTTCTTTAAGACCCCTCTTCTGCTAGTTCAGAACACCTTTTGGCTCCAGAGTGATACGAGTAAAGTCATTGAAGTGGCACATTGTAGAACACTGTACTATATCGGATGGGTAAGTGGGTTCAGAAATGGGAGTAGAAAAGTATAATTTAAAACTGCAAGAAGCAGCTCTGAACACTGGACGGGATAAGTATGCTGTGGACACAGGGAGGAAATATTTTTTGTTTGTGAATATTGGAGTAGCCAGAGGTTTATTTGTGAATATATTTGGTGAAACTTTCTGGATTTCCCTTAGCATGAAATCCAAATTTTCATATTGAACATCAGTTATTATTCATTGATTGTCATGTATTCTCTGTTTAAAAAAACATTTTCATCAAATCAGGGAGCAGAACAATACCTTATCATGACTTAGATGACAAATCACACACTATGAATAGTGAGCAGTAGAAGATGTGGTCCAAGTGAATGATTGACAATATCCACAGGCTCAAATTTAGCTACTAATCACTCCAGGTCCTATTACTAGGGTTGCCCTTTGTATTTTCAAGAGTGATGAGTGTCCTGAGTCATGTTTGTCATTGTTTTTGCCGATGTTCTGTCATCTCATGCTTATACTGCTCCATGGAATTCTGCCCCTATCTGGTAGACATGGGTCACTTGATATACTTTTCAGGGAGATTGTCACATACATTGAGCATTTTCCTTTTTTTTATTTAACCTCTTCCCTCATTTTTTGGTGCAAATTTCATCCCTATGCCCTTTTTGTATACATGGTGAATATGTTTGCGTATTTGTTTTGGTGTTGTCGCTCACTAAATAATTATTAGACTGGTTACAGTCCCATTTTATAAAACAAAAAATGTTCTGCAAAGAGAATTTGTACATCCGGTTAAAGCTAAAAGCTAAGAAACCTGACACAATTAATTCGCTTTTGAAATTTCAGTTTAGAATGGGGAGCAAAAAGCTGCTATAATATTCTCTTTCCGTCTCAATACAATACAAAAGCTGGTAAAGAGAGGTCAAATTTTAGGGCTTAGTCATTTCCTTGGGTATGCAGACATCCATCATTTTATATCTTGTAAAACTGACTATTCTGCATGGCTGCCCAAGCATGGTAGCTGATACTAACATGAGATGTAGAGATGTGCACTTGCATATTCAGGCACAAGAGACAGCCAGTTCAACCTTCTTTAAATAAAATCCATGAGGATTCTGAGACATGGTCCTCTTTTTACATTTATTTTTCTCTTCTTTCCCCCATCCTACCTCCTTTATTTTCCAGGCTGAAATACCTCAACTAGTGAGTGAAATTTATCAGAATTTCTTTGTGGAAAGCAGAGAAATCCCTGTGGAAAAGTCACTTTACAAAGAAATACAGCAAAGTCTTGTGGGCAATAAAGGCATTGAAGTTTTCTACAAAATTCAGACTGATGTTTATGAAACACTAAAGGACAGGTACTACCCCTCCTTCATTGTCAGTGATTTATATGAGAGGCTGATCAAGAAAGAAGAAGAGAGAATTGCAGTTCAGTTGACTTCTGAGGACAAGGATGAAGTGGTGAGTCAAATCTATAATTCTTGCTGCTTTTATTACCGGAGGATGATCTGAGTGAAAAGCTAATGAGTACTTCCTATTCTCAAGCTTTGTGCTTATTTTACTACTTTCTCAATCTTTGTTATTTATATCTCGTAAGCTATTCCACCAAACACCACAAAGTTGATCATATTCCATTTTTTTCAGTTTTTACACAGGTCTCTAATAGTATGCATATAGATAGCAAAGAGGCACTTTGTCTTGTCTTCGGTTCCAGGGATGCAAAGTGTTTGTACTTGATGAAGGAAGGATTTTCCTCAGCTCTGCTAAACTATTGAGAAGCTGTTTAGTCTCTTCTGAGAAGACTTGAAATTTCAGTGTTACCTTTGTACTTCATCGGTACAAAGAACAATTCGCATTCTTTTATCCAAGAAGAGTAGCTGCAAGCATGTCTATGCTTGGATCATCACTAGGGTGCATGGCATTTTTAAACCAATATACAAATGCAATACGATTATGATAATGGTAAACCTTGCCATTTAATTTTTAGCTTTCATTTTGACATATCTCCAGTTGCTTACATGCTGGGTGTTCCATATTATGATCACATAATAAAGCGTGTTCAACATATGGCAGGGGGTTTAAAAAGATACTACCCTTAACAATTAACTGATGATTTCTTTAACATCAAATGGAACAAAATGACTGACTGGTTGAACTTTGTTAAAGTAATTAAGAGCTTTTGAGGTTTGTAAAAGCTTTCAAATACCAACCTTTTCATACTCCATAGTGAGCATGTCTATCCTTCTACTCTTTAGATCCTGAGCATTTTGTTCTAGATATCAACTCGCAAGCTTTGCCTTTTGGTAAAGGAAGTGGAAGATGAGTTTTCAATTATTTATTTTGTTTTGTTTTCAGCTGTTTACTGTTTAAGTTGGCTTAAACAATTATTATTTCAATCTGGAGTTTGTACTAATCACATATATTGATAAAACTAAAGTAAATTGAAAGGAGAGAAGAAAACAATTGTCTACATCTTCTATAAACTAACTTCCTCCCCAGTGAGCTCTAATCTATAAAGCCTCAAACCCCTACAGAATATATGTACTGAAAGCAGTAAAAAGGGAGTGGGGGAATGATGCTCAAGAGCTTATATAGACCATGTCTTAGATGAAAAGAAAATATTATTGTGTATTCATAATCTTAGTGCTTTTTATTAATTTACCAAAGAAATTAACTTTTAGGCTATATTAGAGGATAAAGCTGAAAAACAAAAAGTACAACTTGACTTGGAGATATTAAAGATGAAGTTCAAAATACTATAAGACGACTTTCCAAAGGGAAGCTCTCCAGGGCCAGATGTCTTTGCAGGCAAGTTCTATAAATCTTTTCAGAAGCTAGATCAGAGGCACTTATTTAGCTACACTTTTAACCAGGGATCTCAAAGCACTCCACAGGCATTAATGAATAAAGCCTAACAACTCTCCAGCAAGATAAGGACTATTATCTTTTGTTCTACAAGTGGGTAAACTGAGACACAGAGAAGTTAAGGGAATTGACAAAGGTCACACTGAGAGGCAGAACTGGAATTAGCACCCAGATATGCTGACTCGCACTTTGCAGTCCTAAACACTAGGAAACAGTAACTCAGAATCTGAGGTTTTCCGATTTAATATTTAAATATGATTGAAAGGTCTTCAAATGAAACTTTGGATTCTATCCATCCCTTGTCCTCCACAGATGGTTTTGAGAGGCAAACTATCCTAGGGAAATACTTCAAACACACAGTTTTGTAGCATGTTCCCTCTTTTAATGTTTGCTCTTTTGTTAAATGGGTTTTTTTCTTGATAAGGAACTCAAGGTTCCTGTTTCTCTTTCTGTTATTCAGCTATGTATATTCCAAATCATAGGGAGACCAAAGGCACCTCAAAAATGTGTCCTTCTGAGCCTTGCAATCAATAGGTGTTTCAGGAAACACTGACTTATTGCCCAGAAATGGCAAAGTATTAAAAAAAAAAAAGTTGTGTGATTTTGATTTCCTTATGTATGTTATCTAGAACCTGACACAGATAGCATTTTCCCTAAAGAAACTTATACAACATTTCAAGAATAGCTGTTGGTATTTTTTTTGGTCAGATAATATTTATCTTGGACTCTCCTACAGTCGTCAGCACCTAATTCTTCAGCATTACCATCAGTTATCTTTCCTTTAAATCCTTGAGGGAATATGTGCAGATTTTGAAGGCTGCACTTTGGTCTTTGCACATCTCATTCCATCTATCAGCAACTCTGCAGTGTGGATAAAGATTTTTTTTTAAACTGTTTGTCACAAATTGTTAATGAAGAGTGTACAATTAGAGCACTTCTCTCTAATACAGCAATGCTAATTGCTCTACAGTGAGCCACAAGAGGCTTTGAAAGGAGCATAAGAAGAAGTGAATCTTGTCTGCAGAAGCTTTCACAGGCTTTCAGATATGGGGGGAAATAATACTGTTGGCTCATGGTCCTTCAGTTTCATGTATAGCAAATGATGCAACTGAGAAATAATTTTCCTCTGGCATAGTTATGTTTCTGGAGGGTTTGTTTTTGTTAGTAGAAACTTATGGCTTGATTAACACCACTACAAACCCCTCCCCCCCAGTGGTGCTCAGTTCCCATGAGGGTGTGGGAGCCAGGGGTGCTTGGCACTTCTGAAAAATCAGGCTGAAAGCTTTCGTTACGTATCTTTAGAGGCAGAGCTGTACTGTGAGGGGAGGGCAAGAGGTGCACCGTCCAGCTGACCCTTAATATCTCCGGAGACGATGGCGGAGGGAACTTGCTGGACAGTGAGTTTGTTATAGCTGTAGAACAGGTAGAGCGAGCTCTCCCCTTCTTCCACAGTTGCCACTCTTTTGCACTAGTGCCAGCACATAGGGAGGAGTGGGGCAGTGGCCCGGCCTGTGTCACAACCAAGACATGCTCCCTGGGGTCTCCAGTGCTTCTGGTATCACTGCCTGGACTTCCCTTGCACTTCCCACCTGCAGTCATCTTGTAGTTCTCCTTCTGAGGGCTTCTTGCTGACTCCCCAGTGCACCTGTGTTGAAGTGGCCATATATAAATATGTGTTGGAGTGGCAATATATTTCCACCGTCTTCAAGACTCAGAGCTGCAGTATTTACTCAGTGTGTGGCTTCGAATACTAATTATGACCACCAACTTGTATTCTGCTTTTATATTCCAAATGTTGAGTCTTATTCTCACTTACAATAAAGCCACAGTTTAAAGTCCGTTTATACTATCAGAGCAGCCTAAATGGGACATAGTGTAACTGAGACTAAGGCTCTTTGTCAGCTTCTTACTGCTACATTACATGATAGATGTGGAAGTAAAAATAAGAATCTATTATAACTTTTGCACCACATGCCCTTTTAGTCTGGGATTTGTCTATACCAGTGGTTCTCAGACTGTGAGTCGGGACCCCAAAGTGGGTTACAACCACATTTTAATGAGATCGCCAGGGTTGGCTTAGACTTGCTGGGTCAGGGGCTTAAGCCAAAGTCGAAACCCTACTGTCTGGGGACGAAGCCTGAGGGCTTCAGCCACGGGTAGTGAGGCTGAGATTACAGGCTGAAGCCCTTGGGCTTTGGCTTTGGCCCCTCCATGCAGGGAGGCAGGGATCTGGCGGGCTCAGGCTTCGGTCCCCCCTCCTGGGGTCGTGTAGTAACTTTTGTTGTCAGAAGAGGGTCACGGTGCAATTAAGTTTGAGAACCCCGGGTCTATACTGAGATTAATTGTTTATTGCACATAGATGTAAAGTGCAAATAATGAAGCATGCATAGCAAACAGGTAACAGATTTAACTTATTTTGCATCAGTGACATAGACTTTTTAATAACTAACATTTTTATTTCTAGAGCCAAGGTTGTGAAGACGTTATTGATGAATGCAGCGCAAGAATTAATGAACAGGCAAATTATGCTGTAAATAAACTTCGCCAGCTAAATGACAAACTTGAATATAAGAGACAGGCTCTTAATTCCATATGTAATTCACCAAAACCTGACAAAAAGGTAATGCTTTCAGTAGTCTCAGTCTGAATTTATTTTACTTCTTTGCATCTGTGATACCAACGGGGCATTAGCTATTTTTCAGACTGTTAGAGAGCTTATTCCTTCACTCTCCCACTTCCCTGGTTCTTCTCGCATGAACAGAGAGCAACAATACCCGAAGTCCGAAGGTGCAAACAATTCGATGTTTATTGGGGTGAACTTCCAGCAAGCTAAATACAAGTTCCTTTTTCCTTATTTTCGAATCCCAACTTACTTCCTGTTTGCCCCTAATTTATATAGTAATATTCTTAGCTATACCTTAACCAATCATTCTACTAAAATTTAACTAACCAATCCTAACATGGATTAGCTAACCAATTATATCCCACCACCTTAATTAGTTTACACCCAGCAAAATTAATTATACAGCAGACAGAAGCAATCACAGAACCAGAGACCATGCCAATAAACAATAGCAAAGTGGGAACTATAATGACAAAACAATACAGAAGTGAGGATTTCACAACTACATCTGTAAAGATATAAGAGTTTCCCAGCTGTGTCTATTGATAAGTGAGTTCTTACCAGACAGAAAACTATCAACCTCAATTTCCTTTTACAGCTTCTAGGCACTTCCCTTTCTCTGGAGGTGATAGGCACTATAAGGACAGGATTAAATTCCTAACAGCCCAATAGCACCTTATTTCAATGTGACTAGTTTGGAATGTGAGGATGTGACCATTCACTTCCCAGCTTATGGCTGCCTCTGTTGCTTAGCCAAAGGCCTTAGCCTAAGAACAGGGCCTCAGACTGTCACAGTAAGAGAAGGCCCTTACACTGGCAGACAGTGATTTTGATTCTTTCTTTTAAACCTCTAACTAGCCAAGTGATAGGAATACACCTAAATTCTTAGAGTATAGGCCTTTACAGACAGGCCTGAATATCTATATCCTAACACAGACAAATATAAAGACAAGGTCCCTGCTCTAAAGAATTTATAATTTAAAAGAGCGTCAGAGCCACTGCCATAAATATTTCAAAAATGAATTTAAAAGTCTCTTGTTCTTCATAATTTATAGTACCCTCTTAGAACCCTGGAAATGTTTCCCCAATAGGTTTTTATCCTCTTCTGTTTTGCAAATACAATTTCTTCCCTACATCTGTATCTGCTTCTTCCAATTGAGTTGTTATAGCAACCCAAGCCAACAAGGCGGTTCTGTATACTCTTCCTCGTTGCTGCTTCAAAAACATTACAGCTCTGGGGATCAGATCTGTCAGTAAACTTGCGCGCTCTCTGCTGGCCCTGCAGGTACGGAGCACAATGCCTTGTAGCTACTGTAGTGGTGATAGGTTTACTTAATCTTAAAAAAATTATCCAAGAGAGTGGCTAAATTTCTTTACAAGGAGCTATTTAGAATTCTAAGGGCATTATTTCACCAGACTGTAGTCATTCTAAGATAGGTGAAACCCCTACAGTATTGGGACCAAAATCATAACCTAGCTTTTTGCTCTTTAGAATATGTTACACCATTTGCCCCAAAATGATTATTTTTAGAAATGGGCGGGGATGGTGAATCTGGATTAGGATCTGGCTAAAGTTCAGGTTTAAAGATGATTTAGTGCTGTAGTGCAGCTATGACTGAGTCAAAATCTTGAGTTCTTGTGAGATTTTGTCCCCAAACAGTGGATGTCTTCTGAAGTCAAAACTTGCAAAACTCCCACAATTTTGAGCCATTTCTCCTTCTGATGAGATCTTTTCCACACGGGGGAAGGTTCAGATGTAGATACTCAAATCCAAATGTCCTTCTCCCTGGAAATTTCAAGGGTAGTATTTTCAAATTCAAGGTAATAGTTCTGATCCTTTACTGACTTATTTTGGTGAGGATTTTCTTTCTTTTTAGCCTTTTGTTCCAGTAACTGTGGCCACAGAGTAGAAAGGATATAACAGAAGCTGATGCTGTGTTGAAGGTCAAGTGGTCTGATTTTTTCTTCAGAGATGCTGAGCATACACAGTTCATGCTGAAATCAATGGGAGCTGCAGTTTCGTAGCTTCTCTGAAAATCAGGCCACTGCTATATTTAATGAACAGCAAAAGGAAATTATTGGTTGAAATATTAACAAAACATTTCAGTAAGTTCTTTCCTCAACTCTGTTAAATTGGATGAAAATCAGCAATTCTTAATTTGAAAGATGAAAGAAATGAGGGATCCAACTCTTAAAATGTTGAAATGAATCTCTCTAAGGATCAGAAAGGGAGAACATTTTAAAAAAAGTAGATAAATAGTTTAACCCTTTAATTTTTCAGTGCATTTAACTGACCTTTTTAAATGTTTGTAGTCTGGGAGAATGACCTGCAGATTTTAAATGACCTTTTAGATTTTAAATTACCTTTAAAAAAATCTAAATCTGCCACTCAGTTGTTCATTTTCTTTCTGTGCAAATCACTGCTCTCTTTGTGGGATCTATACAGAAACAACATGTGAACTCATCACAGGTTTGTAGCACCAATAAATTTATATGCTAATTTTCCAGTTGGTGTTTCTATCCTCAATGATGAAAATAGAGAAGAAAGGAGCTGTTAATTTCAGATCCATCAGAAATGTGAAGAAGGGATTAAAGATTGCAAATGGAAAATAGCAATCTGTAGAGAGACCTCTTCAGTTGTCTTGGAAGCATATTAAAAACAGCAGAGCTCACACAAAAATATAATGCTAAGCAGTGTTTGGCAGTGTCCTTTTAAAAATAAAAAGCACTGCCATGCAGGGTATCTCAACCATTGTCTTCAGTTATGTGTGTGTGGATTCCACTGTAGTTATGCATGTGCCTCATGCATGCAAGATCAGAGTCTTCTGAATAACAATGTCCAGTAGGGCTGTGCATATGCCCTGTGCCACCTTCCCATGCTTCCTTGTGAGCATAAAGGGAGGAGTTGCCATGTCCATCCCTCAGTTCCCTCTTGGCACCCATGGTAGCAAGACACCAACACAGCGGTGTCTGACTCACCACTCTCTTTAGTGCTTCATTCTTCTCCTCAGCTTTGGCCTGATTGGACTCGGAAAGGACAACAGCCCCGTACAGTGGAGTAAGGCACTTTGCGTCAACCTCTGCACACGGCGCACTCCAAACCATGATTATTTAAATGCTTCCTGTGTTGTGATGGACTAATCCCACTCACAGCTGCTGCCTGGGCGAGAGCCAGGTTCCAGACAGATGCAGAGCTTGCCATTCCTTTTTCTCCAAGATGTGTAAGTTCAGGTAGAGTCTGTGAGAATCACTTTTGAACTGGAGGAAATGGCAACGCCTAACAGGAGCAGAAGAAGCCATCCTTGGCTCGTGCCTCCTCCAGCAGACACCTCATGCTGGGATCCAGCAGTGAGGAAAAGCCAAAAAGTTACAGAAGGCACTGGCACTGAGATCCCTGGTGCCAGCAGCCCTAGTATTGGCAGCCTTGATACAAGTAGCCCCAGCATCAACCCCAGAACCCACGGACCCAATGCCAAAGACCATCACCAAAAGGCAGGCCAACATGGAGCATAGGCAGTAGCATAGCTCTGAGCATCATTCTGGGTTGTCTTGAATGGAGGGACACAAACACCAGTCCATCAGAGACAAATCCTCTAAGCTCTTCAGTGGTTCGAGGGCTGGAGGGTTGAGTTCCACTGCAGTGTAGAGGAAGAGCTGGAAAAGAGGAATAGCCCAATACTGACCTTGCCACCGGCATCGATGCTGGCACTAAGGATTTATCCTATCATGGTTCTGAGATACATTTTGGAGGCGGAATGCGTATTTCCACTCAAGACATCATCCACACCAAGACCATTGCTGGCACTGGATTGCCCTACCCAATGGTGCCACCATTCAATATCACCTTTGCCATCCCACTCGTTCTCACTGAAATGAAGCTGGGATGTGTCTCCCCTGCATTCAGGAGGGGATCATGCAGGAGGCAGTGGAGGCTCCTTGTTTAGGGCACAAATACAGGCAAAATGCAAGGGGCAGTGGGGTGGGTCATTCTCAATTTCAGTGCCTGATAACTTCATGGTTCTCCAGGATTTGCTGACCCAGATCACTGAGACCCTGAACACTGAAACCTTGGTAATCCAGGAAAAGTCCTGTAAACTGTTTTGACCTCCTGAGCTCCTCATCCCCAGCCAGGATTGCCCTCCTCATCAATAAGGGTATGTGCAAGCTAGTGAAGTGACTTTGGTAGACTCCAGACACAGTTCTTCATCTAAGAGGATTTGAAAGAGGTACCAGGTCTCACAAAAGGATTTGAGGCATTTCTATATCTAGGTCCCCAGTGGCATTAGTGGTACAGGGTCAAAAAAAAAAAAGTGGTCTGCAAAGTGCATCTGAAAAGAGGACACTCAGAAACTGGAACTCTTCAGGCACAAGGTTTAGTCCTTCATCTAACTACAGCTCTGCATTGTGAGCTATCAGGCCTTGTTCTTGAAATACATTTTTCTCACCTGGGAGATAGCGGTCTCCTTCCTTCCAAAAATCTCACAAGATAGTAGGGATAACTGAGAGATCATGAAGGAAGGCCAAGTGGTCACAACGTCTGCCTTCCTAGCTGCTGTGGATGCTTTGGACACAGCTGCCACATTGATGGCCTTGGGGGTCACCATGAGATGGGCCTTTTGGTTTCAAGCATCCAGCATTACTAAGGAGATGCAGTGCACCATAGAGGACCTGCCCTTCTAAGTGGTGGATCTCTTCAGTAGCCAAACAGATGATGCACTCCACTCCCTTAACAGTTCTAGGGCTATGTTATGTTCACTAGGGATGTACACCCCAGCCCCCTACAATAAGCCACAGTAATAATCAACCCCAAGTGCACAAGAGAGCTCTCTCCTCTTCCCAGACTAGTTAAACAGAGTACCCTTCATGAAACCTGGTACTCCAGGAGACAATTGTCATCCTCCTCATTTGTCATGTACCCAGCACCATTTCAGAGGCAGCAGGTTTGGCAGGAATGTGGGATCCACACTGACACAGTATGGTTACCTACCCCATAGTAA